CTTCATTTTTTCTAAACTTTCATATCTTTTTTTTGTTACAAATTAAAAACTATAATTATATTTCAATTTATCACCCGTGGATTTCCACGGGTTTAAACCTAGTAAAATATAAATAACTTAATGCATCAAAAATACATTTCAAATGCTTTCGGTTTGCTTAACCATTCACCTCATGTGACATACTTTCTTTTTAGCTAATGATTTTTCTTTTATTCGTTGGATTTGTGAAATTAAATCGGATTGTCTATAACTAGATAGTTGAAAGTAAAATGGGACAGAAAGATTAGTAATGTTTTAAGCTTGTAATTATATAAAATGGGTTGGTTCTAGGTTTGTTGAAGTATGCACGCTCGACAAATACTCGTCGCTTCCAACCTTAAATGTTTGTGTCGGTGGTACGATCTCGTTTTCATTATACTCACATATTCATTTATTTCATCTCCGAGAATCATATTATGCAATATGATACAAGTATACATAATCTCACTTATTTTCTTCTCGTCAATAAAAATTATATGATATTTAAATATATGCCAACGTTTTTAAAGAGCGTCAAACACTTGTTTAGCATCCTTCATTGTCTTCTCTTGAGCTCTCTTGAACTTTAACCTTTTTCGATCATTAAGACAAGACAATGACTTTACAAAACAAGAATACTCCTGATAGATCTCATCCACAAGATAATACTCGTACCTATATTATGTCCACACACATCAAACGAAGAATTTGGTGCAGTTCCAACCTCAAATGTTTATGTCTGTAGAACGATCTCGTTTTCATTTTACTCGCATATTCATTTTTTTCATCTTCGAGAATTATATTATGAAATATGATACAAATATACATCATCTCACATATTTTCTTCTCGTCAATAAAAACTGCATGATATATAAATATTAAATATATGCCAATGTTTTTTAAGAGCGTCAAACACTTGTTTAGCATCCTTCACTGTCTTCTCTTGAGCTCTCTTGAACTTTAACCTTTTTCGATCATTAAGACAAGACAATGACTTCACAAAACAAAAATACTCCGGATAGATCACGTCCACAAGATAATACTCGTACTTATATCATGTCCACGCACAAACGAAGAATCTGGTGCAGTTCCGTATACATGTCGTCGAATTACGCAGACATGTTAAGCACATTTATGTCATTCACGACCAGCATTCAAGGACGAAAGAATGCGTGACATATCTACAAATCATGTGAGCTCACCGCTTCAAGTATGAGAATTGGATAACCATGATCATCTCGGGTGTATTCAATGTTTAAAAAACTGGTTTTTTAGTTAAACTGGTATGGTTACCGGTTACCGGTTCGACTGCCAGGTCAACCAGTTTCAATATTTTTCATGTTTTTTCTACACATACATACATATATAAATCATGAATTTGATGTTTACAAGTTCAAACATTAAAAATACACATACAAATAAGTTGTAGATGAATCAAAATACATTAAATAACACATAATCATAAGCTTTAGTGTTTTACATCAATGCATATACGTCAAAAAGAAAATAAAATATAATACCGAAACAAAATATAGTTTTAGATGAATATAAACACATCAAAAAAATTTATAACATTTATTATATGTTTTTATTTAGGGAAAATTAAATAGTTTTGAAAAAAAAAATCTCTAAAGTTTATTATGTAAATGATTTTTTTTCATGTGTTTTTGTTCGATTTAACCGGTTCAACCGGTTTTTTTTATCGGTTCAACCGGGTTTTTCTAAAAACCGATCAGTTCAATCCGGTTCAGAAATCGACATAGAAATGGTGATAGTTGAACTGTTCTCTCCCCATGTTCCCGGTCCAACCGGTTCGATCGGCCGGTTCAAACCGATTTTTAAAACATTTGGTGTATTGGTCTTGATGTGCATTCAGGTAATTGTCTCATTCCCAGTGGAGGCAATCTAGGCTTACTAACATTCCATGGAAGTCGTCACGTTCGAATGATCAGTATATGATTGTTGGATGTCACTACAAGTAGGTTTGTGCAAATATCGTGGATAATACAATCTTATGTCACACTTACAAAATGTGTGATGGTTTTGTCATGCAGTACGTCCGAACATCCTAAAATTCCCATTTAGTGCATCGGGGGAAGTGACATATGCTAGTTGATGAAGTACGGCGGTGCATTTTTGTAAGGAGGTAAAACCAATTGTACCTCTAGCATTTACATGTCGTTGGAAATATGAGCACACTGTCGTGGCGTCGTTGACTATACACTGAAACAAATGTTTGTGCATACGGAACCGCCGACAAAATAATATCCTTGAAAATTTGTGTGTTCTTCAAAATAATCTTACATGAGGCATTGGTGAGAAGCTTCATGATTTCTTTGTATGAACCTTCTTTTTCTCCGACGAGCATTTTCGACAAATTGTTGATTTAGTTCTTATATCTTCTATTCAGCCTCTCAGTCTCTTGAATAACATCTATGGTCGATTTAAAAAAAAAAAAAAAAAAAAAAAAAAAAAAAAAAACGATGAAGAAGATGAAGATGACTTTTTTAGAGAGAGTGGAGAAGAAGGTTTTGATGTGGTATATGAAGGAATGTAGGGTTGTACTTATAGTTATTTTTTTTATTTTTTTTCTTTTAAATGAGCCATTAGCTCATTCGGTGAAGAGTGGGTGTTGAACTCGGTAGAAAGGTATTGAGTATCGTCTCTGAGCAACGCTTACCGAGGTGGCATCACGGTGTTTGCGAATCCACCTCAAATTCGTCGAGCCTTGTCGGGCCTCAAAATGTCTTCAAATTTGGCATGAGATTGTTATTTTGCATTTGTGAGAACACGAACCTTATTTCTATTCATACAATATTTTGTGTGCATAAGTTGGTTTACTTTTATTATTATCTTTATTGGATCTGACTTCCAACAAATTGACACTTTTGTTGGGATACAACAAATTAAATATTTTATGTCAGCAATATTTTCATATAAGTGCACAACATGAAGTTGATACGAAAATCAAAAATCAACCGGAAGACTAAAGAAATGAGTTAAGCTTCGTCGAATCCTTTGCCCCGTCATTATCACAGGCTATTATCAATATTTAGAAAAATATCTCATTTTCAAGCAAAGTATACATGAATCAACCACATCGAAATGAGTTAAATCTTTCCTAACACCCTTTATGCATTAGTTATCCCAATATATCCCTGTTGGATATTTTAAAATCACTAATAAATATATATAAATAATGTTATCATTAATTTTATATTATTATGGAAATTATATAAAATTGTTGGTAGATTGATTTTATTAATAAATAAAGATATACAATTACCATGTTTATCTTGTAGGTTAAGTTTTCGGTTTAACTCAAGATCTCCTAAATCTCTAATATCTCTCACATTCAGTTATATCTCCATCTATATAAATACGTGATGAGAAGCAGATTTACGATATACAAAAATACATACCAGAATTTCATTTTAGGGATTGTTGTGGGATTTTAGAGAGTGTTCTTGAGATCAACTGGAAAACTAACCCTAATCTCCAAATTCGAAAATCTCAAAGGAACAAGGTATATAATCGTTCTTATTGTTTAAGTTTTCTTTTAATCAGATTCGATATTAAAGATTCAAAGTTTATACTTCTACGTTTATGTTTTGGTTATCAAAATAACCAACAATCCCAACCTGAGCAAAAATAAAAAATAGATCCCTAAACTTTTGGATTAGCAATGACGTATTAGCGATGAAGAACGAAAATCTAGTGACATTAAAATTTTAGTATCCGTAATGACACATGTCATGTACGATTGCACACCCAATATGTGCTCAAGACCAGCCATAATCCCAACTCGGGAGAGAACTTCAAGAAAGTCTAGGCTCATTTTTCTATTACCTATATGGACTATAGGATCGTGATCCACACAAACACCTAAAAAGAGTTAGATGGGGAATGTTATGCTATGAAACCACATATTACTATCAAAGACCATATCAAACTTACGGCATTTCCATTTTCCTTAGCCGATGCCGCTAATAGTAATTTAGTGCCTTCTTGAATGATCTTGCAAATTTTTTCTTTTAACTAATGAGTTCTCTTTCGGTCTTAATTCCAATTAAGGATATAGACTAGTCTTTTTCTTAAGCCCGAATACATTACTATTTTTCATGAACAATAAAATCTCAAACAATTATTCCTTTATCCTTTAACATTGAGGTAGGCACACAAAAAACTTGTTCAAAATTTTGAAATTCAATCCTATCCGGGTTTTTTTAAAACCGGGTTCAAATTATAAGATTAGACAGTTTTGAATTTTATACGGATAATACCATCTGCCTTTTTGAATCAAATACCATGAAATTTGAAATCCAATTTTGGGGATGGTTATTTTTATCCGAAAACATCCTATAATTTCCATCCAAAATCCAAAAAAAAAAAATCAGCTTGTTATATTTTTGGAATCCAATAATCTCCAACCAATATGGCAAAACCCGGAATATAAAAGAAATTCAAAACTGGATTATCCAGAATCCAATAATATAGATTCCTCCTTTCTTATGTCATTGATCGAATTCCAATGAGTATTCTCCTCATATTAATTGATGATATTCTTATATCATCAACACATCAACATTCATACTAGTTTGCAATGTATAGGTATATTCTTCATATTCAATATATCAGTCATTCATAAAATTAAGATAAGCATCAACAAATTTAACAAAAAGAAAGGCATTAATGATTAAACAACATTGATAATGATAGACTCTAGCAAAGTATTATCATTTTACATTGATATAAAAAGTAAGAAAATAAAGTTGATTGGTATTTGAGGCGTAGTGAGTCAGCAAAAAGATTGGCTCACAAGTCACAAGAGTCGCCTACCCTTACCTAAATGAGAAAGACAAGAAGAGAGAGAGAGAGAGAGAGAGAGAGAGAGAGAGATATTTACATTACATTGGTCTATTATAGCATAATAGCTTTTCTTCACAAGGGAGGGAAGAGTCCAACTCCAAGGAGAAAGCAGGCAGGTAGTTGTGTTGTGTTGTGTTCCTTCATATTTATTTTTTAGGGTTTTACAGGTTTACAGCACACGAAGCTGAGCAAGAAACGCAGCACAAAGATCCAGGAATAGAAACTGTGGGCCCTGGATTCGTTGTAGATCAAGCAGATATTTGTCCTCGCGAGTTTTGTAAAGCTGCAATAATGAAATGGTATTTTGTAAGGTCGGAATCGGAATCCAAGATTCCATTCCGATGGAACCTCGGAATCGGAATCCGAGATTCCATTCCATTCTTTTATCTTGTTAAGAGACCAAAATACATACCCCTCCAATTGTGGATTATATTGAATAGATAATGAATGCTTGTTAAAACCCAAACAAGATTATGATAAAGTATATAATTCTTTTTTCCAGTTATTTGTAAAAAAATAGAGTTATAACTTGTAATTACAATCGTGAAATTCTCGAAAAAAGATTTGTATACTTAATCGAATAACAAAAAAAGATTTGGTTGTGGCTTGTAGGAATGGAATGAACTTTTACATATGATTTTTTTATTTTATATTATATATAAATAACATATATGGTTTTAACTTTTAATAGTAATAATATATGTAATTTAATTATAGCTATAGAGTTTATTATTTACAAAACAAAAAACATAATTGTAATAAAAGCTCATTAAAACCCAAATAAGTTAATAATAAAAATAATTCCTTCTTAATAACTGAAATAAAATAATTCTTAATGCAAAATAATTCTAGTCCAGGAAGGAATCAGAATTCAAATGCTTTTGGGAATGGTCAATTCCATTCCATACTTCCGATTCCACCATACCAAACAAAATAATTCTTAATGCAAAAACATAAATAAATAAGTCGATAATAAAAATAAAAATATTACCTGGACTTCGAATTTGACGACATTAGGGGAAGTCAAGGCACCATCATTTTCAACAATAGTCAACTCATCTCCAAAATAATTATGATTACTTTGCATGGAAATAGAATCATTCACCATGCCTTGATGATGACCTGGCACACCCGGGACCCACCTACATTTCATATTGTAATGACCTATTTTTTTCCAACACACGTTCAGCTCTTGCAAAGCTTTCAGAACCTCTGTCATTATCTCACGAGGATGTGCTCGAGACTATCAAAAAAAAATCAAAAACAATAAGAAAAAAAATGTTTTTTTTTATTTTTTTAATTAATTAATTGTTTCAAGAAACTTAACCTGAAGTCCAAGAGCCCATTTTCTTTCGACTTGGTTTCTGATATTCATTCCTTGATATTCCATGTAAGCAGATGGGCGTTGTGCCATAATTGGAGAAGTAGGAGCTTCGTTTGAACTCATGCGGTTGAATCCATCCTGTATTTTTGTTCAGCCAAAAGGGCAAATCGGTAAATTCACAAACTTTGGATATATCATATCATATATGTAATACTGATACGTGTATAGACCATAGATATATATGAGTAAACAAAGCTTTTTTCCCATTTTATAGAATACATGACAATCTTTTTAAGGATGGTTTTCATGAGAAGGGCATTTTTGTCTTTTACACAAACAAGATATATCCACAAGCTTTTCAAGGACGTTTTTCATGAGAAGGGCATTTTTGTCTTTTACACAAACGAGTAAATAAAGTTTTTTCCCATTTTATAGAAAACATGACACTTTTTTTAAGGATGTGTTTTATGAGAAGGGCATTTTTGTCACACCTTTTCAGGTGGGACCCAAAATTTTGCAATTTTTGTCTCATTGACATCCGTCTGTCCCACCTTTTTTTGGTAGGAAAAAAATTTTGCAGCTTTTGTCCAATTGACATCAATCTGTGCCCAATCTTTTTGGGTGGGACCACAAATTTTGTACTTTTTGTCTCATTGACATCAGTCTAAATCCTATTTTTTCATATTCTGAAAAAAAAAAAAAAAAAAAAAAAAAAAAATTACCAAGGGTTTTTGAAATTCAGCTCCAAGATAGCCACTCGAGTTACGAAACCTATTGTCCAAAAGCAAATAATACGCCACTGTACCCTACATAAAATAAACAATAATCATAAATAAATAAATAAACAAAAAAACATATCCATTAAATTTTTTTAAAAAATAAATAAATAACAATTTATACCTCATTTTGCACTCGGTTGCGAAGAGATTCAATGAGGGTATCGCGATCAAACCCCATCTTAACCACCTCCATAAGAATGTCTTCATCCGTCTGTAAAAAGTAAAAACACACAATTTTACTTAAATGCCCATGTAATTAATAAAGAACCAAAAGGGTATTTTCGTAATTTTGCCTTTTTCGCTTGTTGCATGGAATCGGGTGGTGGGACCGCCAGATAACGTGGGAGATGGGCTTGGAACCACGGGTGTATACGGATTTCAGGAATAGTTATTCGCTTCATGGGGTCCACCACAAGCATTCTTGGAATTAAATCTCTTGCTCCAGGTGATAAGTGACTAGGTAGGGTATATATTCCACCCTGGAAATTAATTTTTATTTTAATTATATAAGATTTGTAATGATATAAATAAGCTTAGAGAAAAAAAAAAGTTTTACTATAATGGACATATCTTGAGGTTTTTGGATGAGTTGGAGCTGATGTGGCATAAATAAGCTTTACTATTTACTATTATAGGTGCTTTTATAAACTGTAATAAATTTATGAATGTACCTTAATTTTCTTGAAGAGGTTAGGAATATTTTCATCATCAAAAGGAAGGGTCCCACATAAAAGAGCATACAAAATAACACCACAACTCCACACATCAACTTCAGGTCCAGCATACAGCTTCCCAGATATAACCTAAAAAGTAAAAAACACAACACAAAATCATAACCATTAAAAAAAAATTAATTACTTTTCTTAATTTTCTTTAAAATCCCATAAATCCATTACCTCAGGAGCAGCATAATTTGGGCTTCCACAACTCGTTTTAAGAAAATGTCCATCACGCATGATATTACTTAAACCAAAATCAGCAATTTTCACATTGCATTTTGAATCTAACAAAAGGTTTTCAGGTTTAAGATCTCTATGAACAACCATGTTCCTATGGCAATATTCAACACCTGATATTATCTGCTTCAAAGAAAACGAAATTATGTTATAAAAAATTAAGAAAACACTCAAACAGTTAATGAAAGTATGTAACAACGAATGTTTTAATTCACCTGTTGAAAGAAATTCCTCCCTTCATCTTCTTGTAACCTTCCCTTTTCCACAATGTAATCAAAAAGCTCACCCGATTTCACATACTCCATAACAACATAAATATCTGAGGGTGTTTCTATAACCTCATAAAGACGGATGATATGTGGATGCATGAACAATCTTAAGATCTTGATCTCTCTTCTAACTGAAGAAAGATGTTGTTATATGGTGAGAGAGATATTGAAGATGATGAGATGTAAATCAAATAATTTTAGTTATTTACCTTTTTCTTCCATATCCATGTTTTTTATCTTGCGTCGATTGAGGATTTTTATGGCAACTTTGTGCCTTGTTAAAGCATGTTCTGCAATTTTCACCTTCCCAAATGAACCAATCCCAAGTGTTTTTCCAAGCTTGTAGTTCCTCAAGAACATGTCTACACTGCTTGTTCCATGACCTGATCCCTCCATATCTAATCAGATCAAGAAATTGTTGTAATTTGTAACAATTTGTGAAAAGTAACTAGAATCTATAAGCTCAACAAGTTGCAGGTTGTGTGTTGTGTGAGAATGTGATGCGAATTTGATAAATCAAGAACATAATTTTGGTGATATGGAGATTTGATTCGGACATTTTGTGATTAGCGAGTGTTGATATGAACATCTTACGAGGTAAAGCTTTTTAACTCTTTTGTAAAACCTACAAAAGCTGATTTTTCCTGTGTAAAGTAAAACAGAAACATGTATCGAGCAATAGACCCTTAAAACTGAAATGTAAAACATAATATTATTTAAACCATCACGCGAAGGAATCTCATGTCTAGAAAGCAGAATTCCTTTAACCTCAAATTAGCAAATACAAAATGAAATTGATGGATTGTGCCGACTAAAAAAACCCCAATTCTGAAGATCTGATTTGCATCATTGAATAAGAAGTAAGAACAATCCTCGAAAGATAAGAGCAAACGCTAACGAAATTATATATCTAGACATGCAAACAAACAAAACAAGAGGAAATTTTTAGAGACTAACCAAGTGAGAAAAAAACCTAGCTCCGTCGATTCTTAGGGTTTTCCTTTCCCGATGATCAATCCAAACTGCGAATTCTGTCAAAAAAAAAGAAAAAAACCCAAATGTGAAATTAATCGAAAAGATGCCTCAAATGCATTTGCTTACAACAAAGTATCATGCATAGAATGACATCTGTAAAGAAGGATGCATGAAAAGTGAGAAAGATTCTCATACCTTCTCTGCAAGGGTTTGAAAGAGGGGATGGGGAAGAAAACCTTCGTGAATGGGCACACGAGAATAATTGAAGAGATTCAGTTCTCTTTTTCACTCGAAAAAGACCTTGCAATATAATATTCGATTATTTATATTCTTAAAATTAGCTGATGGCGTCAGCAAGTTATAAAAATTAAATATTATTACTATCTGTTTTCATGTTCGTATAAAATAAAATAGTAGGTTATAAAATAAATTAAGCTTTTATAAAAAAAAATAATAATAATAACTTATTTTAAATAAATTATTAATATATATTAGCTATATGAAATTATAATTATCGATTCAAATGAATATATTAAATTTATTTTGAAGACAAAGGTGTAAGAATTTCTTATATGTATTTGGGTACAATTAACAAAAATATATGATTTTAGTATCTATAAATTTAGTTGTTATATGTATAATTAGTGGTTGTATATGTAAATTGGAGAATGAGTATAATGACACTTGGCAAAATATTAATTAAAATAAATAAAAGATTGGGTCTATGGCACGATTGGGTAAAATAATAACAAATGGAATCTATTATTTTTGTAACTATGGCCTAAACTTATGTCTATGGCATTAAACTTATAACTTACATGTTTATTAAGTCAAGTTAGTTGTAACAGATTCTCTCTAATTGGTTATTTTAAATTACAAGAATGGTCCTTATGACTTAGTTCTTTGCGCAATAAATCACTTTTGTTCGTCTCTCATTTCTATCATTTATTGCCACCTCATTTACACACCTTACTTCCCTCCCTTTTAACTATTTCACTATTATTGTGAATAACAAAAACTGAAGCATCTAGGATTCCACTACTTCTCTACTAAATCTTACATTTGTAAGCCCTGCCACCTCCTCCTACCGCACTCCTCCCTCCGCCTGCCCACATCTCATCTCTTTATTATCCTCTCCACGTACGTTGCCATGGTAGTGAGCCCCAACACTGCTAGCCACATAGACTGTGACACCTGTTTTCATGGTAGATATTATTACGAGACAGGTAATGACCCAAAAATTTCATATTGTGTGTTACAATATGTATTTGATATAAATATGATAAGGGTGAACTCAAGTAGTGAAACGATGTTACTTTGGTGATACAATACATATGTTCTTATAATTGTTGCAATGTATCACAAAATGAGTAAATTTTAGCCAGGAATTTGTGAAAGAATGTGATAGTTTATATGAGATGATTATGTGGATATAAAGATCGTCAAAATAAGAGTCTGTATGAGAAAGTTATAACCCTTTGAAGTTTATATAAAAGTATGTACGTTATTGTTTTGAGAAAAGTCAACTAAAGTCAAAGTCAAACGGTTAAATCTCAAGTTAACATGATGCGGAGGATCGACTTAAGCGATATGTAGGTAAGCCGAGTCATGAGACATGTATCAATCATTGAAGGACACGTGGCGAAAGGAGAAGACACATGTCGAGATCTCGGACAACATACGTTTTGTGGCACGACTTAGAGCGTGTTGCGGTGCATTTTTTGAGTAGTATATATAGTTTGAGTTTGTGTCATTTTATGAGTTTTGGCACGTACGATCGGGGAAGAGGCTCGGGAGGTGTTTCCAGAGAATTATTAACGTATAGTCGTACTAGCTTACGGTGATATGAGGGTTAAGTTGTGGGATTAGTTGAGGTATCTTTTACCCCGTTATTACCTAATAATGTTCTTTTGATATTTCATAGAGGGTCTAACGACCCTGGGTATATGTTATGGGATTTCGTGATATGGTGCTATCACGAACCCGAAAATTTGTTAAATATTAATCTGGTCATTATGGGTCAAATATCCTAATTTAATGATATTTTTCGATTGGATTAACAACTTAGGGGTTAAGCTAAGTGATTGTATTTGAAAACTTGACTAATTTGGTGACAAATGGTTACCGAGTCTGGTTAGTGATCAAGTAATTGATTCTTGTGGATGATATTAAACAAGTTTTAATGAGCTTCATATATTGTCCAAATAGGTTTGGATAAGTGATGAATTGGAAAGCAGCGCGTATATAGATACCAGAATAATAGTTAGTCTTCACTAACTAACCAAGTGAGTAACCTTACCTTTCTCTAGTTTAATGATATCTAGATATGTGATAATTATTTTGCAAGTTCATGGTAGAGTATAATATATGGATTGTTATTTATTAATATTGTATGAGTTGGGTATTTGCAATAATTGAGAATTATAGTTGTCTACTGCTATACAAGTCATTAAATAGAGTAATTGAAAATTATAATACTTTATTACAATTTGAGTAAAGAGGTGTAATTGAGATACATAGTGAGGTAAAATATTTCTAAAAAGATGCATTAATGAGTGACTACGGTTGATATATATATATATATATATATATATATATATATATATATATATATATATATATGTATGTACACTACTATAAGAATTAAGGAGTGAGTATTACTGAGTTTTTCCAGATGTTATTTGATGATGGAATGGTGTTCCATTCTTCACTTTTTTATTTTTGTCTTAGAATGTTATGACAAAAGTTATCAAATACAAATTTTAAAAGCATAAATTAATCAAATCGGATTTATATATATTAAAGATTCACAATTTGGAATACATACTTGAATGTTGATATATACAACATATTTACAACCACGAAAATAAGTAGAGTGAGGCCTTCAAATTGCAATATCTTAAGATAGAAATTGCCTTGGCATGAGTCTATTTAGAGGATACAACAATCAATTCAAGAACATATCTTGAATATGTCGAAAACCACCATGCTCCCATTTTGCATAAAAAATGATTTTTAGTGAAGTATGTGTGTGTTTCATTAGCCTCCAAATTCTGACAATCTTGATGTATTCATAGGCTTCTAATGATGGTTGTAAACCACTAACCGGAAATAACTGCTAAAAACTATCACACGTTTAATTCACTAACTAACATAATATAATAAATAAAAATTAATTAAATAATTAGTGTCAGATTTATAATAACAAAAATACATTATGTACTCAAGAAGATCCCAAGATCTCCAGCGCCCTATCTTTAACCATTAATACATATAATAAATCCAACCCTTTTTCTAGCTCAATATGACTAGTCCAACACCACAACCCAAACCCAAGATGCTTACTGCAATAGATAGTCTATTTGATTAAATGACTAGGAAAAAATCTTATAAAGCGGGACAAAGTTTTCTATTCTTCCTATGTGGGACAAGGTTTTGTCTTCTTCCTGTGTGGGACAAGTCCCATATATGTAATTTGTAACCCCCGTGGATTCGGGCAAGTCAATTTAAAGATAATAAGCGTTAAAAATGAATTTTTGATAAAAGATTACTTAGAATAAATAATCTTAGTCAAAGTATATTATATGTCACAAGGATTCCGTACATATAAAGAACGCTGAAATCCGAGTTATAACGAAGAAGTTATGACCCGTCGAAGTATTACGGCTAAACCGACACGACACCGCGTAACATAAAATGTGAATTTTTGATAAATTACTTTTTAGTCTTATTGACCTAAATGAAAGTCGTAGTGGACGTTAAACCAAGAGCATACATATAAAGAAAGTTCAAATCTGACTTTGTATGAGGAAATTATGATTTTCTAAGATAGTGAATATAAAGAATGTCAAAAACTCTGCATGAATATAAATGAAAGTCGTAGTAGACGTTAGCCGACTGAGTCTACACGAAAGTTGTGGATGTCGTCGATACCTACGCGTGAATATAAAGAATGTCAAAAACGGAGCTCGTATGTGAAAGTTACAGATTTTAGATAATTAGTTTTTAGAGTAATCTGCGAGTGACACGTGGCGCGATCTGAGATAATGCTTCTTCCCCACGCCTTTCTGCCAAATGGTGACACTTGGCACCCCAACACGACGTGTTTTGCTCAGTACTACACCGTGTTGAGCCATTTCCAGCCTATAAATAAAGGTGCAAATCATCCCATTTATTGACACCTTTCCACTTCTCTTCTCCCACACACTCCCAAAGCCTCAAGGCAATTCCTGGTATAGGAGAATTAAACGCAATTCCTACTCTTTACATCCATATTTAGGAATTCTTATGACATAACGTTACACTAATTTCTCCTTTGTGGGAACGACTAACCTTGATTTATAATATATGTATCTATATAACGAATATATGTTTTAAGTTTGAGGCATATGATGTGATCGGGAAGCAAGAATGCTTAACTAAGGTTATTACCCACTTACTTCTCATTTTACCACAAAAACGACCTAGTGAGGGAATGAAAGAGATTTAACAACTGTTATGAACTGATATGAAGGTGTATGATCTGACAGTGTTTTACATAATCTGAAAACAATGCAGTTAACAAAAAGTGCGACATTTTTTGAACATTTTGGAAACTTCGTTACGCTTTAAAGTAAGTTTTCCATTTACCTAAAGTTTAACAAATTCTAATATTTTTATAATTATGTTATTTGTATGTTAAACAATACATTTTTTTATTCTTTTTCTACACTCAATAATAAATAGTAAATTATAATCTATAAAAATATGTATTTATTTTATGACCATGAAAATAATCAAATATGAAAGAAATTGATTTGTGTTTAGTTCCAAATTAGGTGGTGGTTTCCAAAATTTTCACCCCACACTAGTTTCTTTTTTGGAACGATAGTAAAAGGTCATATTAAATCCTATAGCCATTTAGACAAAAAAAAAAAAAAAAAAAAAAAAAGTGTATAAAATATATTTAGATGAGGAGGAACATATCTACTAGTTTTATCATCTGTAAAATCTTAAGACTCTTCAAACCAATCACAGACTTTATTGAGATAGCTCTAGTCCCCACTTTCAAGAACTGTATATGAGAGTATGAGACTCATCTCGAACAGCTCACACAAAACGCCCACATACCGTTTTAAATTTTTCATATTTTGTTCCCTCGGTACAAATAGTATTTATTAATGAACCAAAGTTATAATTACATCACCCATAATATGCAAACTTTTTCATAAAGCTTTTCGGTGTTGTTTTGATGTCAGATCATCATCAAATCACCACACAAAACGCTTCTTTTTATAATTTTTTGACAAAACTGCAAAAAATGATCCCTGTGGTATGCATTTTTTTGGGGTTTTGGTCCAAACCCCGATTTTTTTGGATTCATGGTCCTTTTGGCCATATTTGTATGTAAATTTGGTACCTCGTAAAACTAAAATGACTATAATGCCCTTCTCATAAATTTTTTTTTTTTTTATGTTTTCTGTTTAATTTTAATAAAAAGGAAAATAAATAATTAATTTGGGCCCACCTCTCTCTCTCCACACTTTTTAATCATCTTCTTCCTATTTCTTTTTTTATCTCTCTAAACTCTACTGAAAAATTAGAACACATCACATATATATACACAGAACACACATACATACATACATACACAACTCAAATACATACATACATACATACACTGAATTACTTGTGAACTGAATATGAGCTCGAAAACCTCAAAAATCGTAGATCCTACACAAAGCTTTGCAGAAACTAAAATTATGATACAAACTAGGCGTTGAAATCAAGTAACAAATTCAATTGATGATGATGAAATAAATGAGAAATCAATCGACATACTGTTGAATCAAACCTGCAACTCTCGATCTAATACCATGGAGACTCTCAATTCAGTACCATGGACGTGCAACTCAAGACAAAGAATCCACCAAGAAAAACTGATATTGTTGAAGAAAGCAACATTGGGTTCTGAAACCCTAAATCATAATTGGCTAGATGTTGAAGAAAACAGATCCTTACCAAGCAGGTCCATTAAACTGAGGACCCTAAATCGGAATCAGAGTATACTCTGGTGAGGATGGAGAAGAAGATCAACTTCGAATTAAGCAAAACCCAATCAATTTCTATGAACAATTTAATTACGGGTTTCATCTTTTTTACTCAGTTTCACGAAACCTGAAACATTTTCATTCATACATCAAACAATCCCAAAATAGAACCCAT